ATATCCGAGTGGCACAAATTTACACAACTCACGTAACATCTACTGTTTCAGAGCGGTGGCCGTTGCTCTTATAGCAGGTATTCTTTATGGCGTTACTTTTGTACCAGTAATCTACATCCAGGATCATCCCGAACAGGTATTTTGTGATCAGCTGCTTCAAAAAAAGACTACATTCTATATTCTTTTTAGTTTCCTGACGCTTCAAAGAATGGATTGGCGTACGTTTTCTCGCACTACTGTGGAATTTTCCTAACCGCCACTTTTCTGCTTGTCCTCTACATCGTTTTCAGTGGTGTAAGTGTTTGTTTATCACCCGACAAATCCGTTTACAATATGTGACTCTAAAACAGACTAACAGACTGTTCTGGGAAATGCTTTCTATATTGCTACGCCAGCGTGGATAGAAGAGGCTATCTTTATTCCTAGAAAGCAGGGCCAGTACATTTTTGTGTGGGCTTTCACAAAGCCTGGCAGTTTCATGCATCTCATACCACCTCTCCCTAGATATGCTTCCACTTTTGAACATTTTTGAACGAGAACATTTTTGCAGAACAATCCCACGGTAAACAACAAGATCGTTGGTCCGAGCTTGCTGGCTGGGTGTATGTGGGCGGTCGCGCAGAGTTCCTGGTAAGTGTTCTTTTGCTAGTGTCGTGGAAAAGACGAGTTTGTACTTGAGATTCACTAGTTTTGAGAACAAAGCGATTGTTAATGTAAGTATTTATGCCATGTTGCATTTACTGGTAAAATGTTTCAGGTTTGTCGCGAACGACAATCTATCACAATCTGTCACTTTCCCTATCATTAGCATGGTACCAGGCGTATGTGCAGCCATGTGGAGTGTATTTTATTTCAAGTGAGTTGCGTTTAATTGCACCTATTCTATCTTTTAGGTGGTGCCTACTATTTTATAAAATGATTTCTTCAGAGAAATAACAGGTCATCGCAATCTACGCATTCTATCGATCGCAATTTGTACTACTTTAACCGGCGCTGTACTGGTGGGAATATCCAAGTGAGACACTGCAGTGACAACACTACTCTTGTATCATATCATCATACATAACCTTCGATTATTCAGCTCATCTTTTTAGTTAGAATTTTCAATATTTATTTGATCAGTCCGACGTGCCAAGTATTTTTGCCCAACATCCATCTGAGCGAATCTTTCGTTACACTTAGTATTTTCGTCAATTTTCCTTTTATTTTGTTACTCTTAGTAATACTATTTAACTCCGCCCCATTTTTACCCCAATGTGCTACCCCTTGACATGAGATTAATTTCAAAAACCAGGTATAACTTACACGTACAAACCTATGCACTGATATCAACTATTTGTTGAGATTTTATCTGCACTGGTAGCCCTACATTTTGGCTGGTATTTTTGTTTACGTACTTGTGATAATTCTTAAACTAATTCTTTAAAATTTTTCTTTTAAGATTTGTTTTCTTCTTTGTCATATCCTGTACCCTTTTTGGAAATGCTGTGTACTTTATACGAAAGCTGTGATAGTTTCATGGATGCGATTGATAACATTGTGAAAAATTCTAACTTTGCCCACCCCTCACTAACCCTATTATAGTATGTTAATAGGTGTAAATAAATTTACGACTTTTCATTTCCTGTTCGAGGTATACAACGTTTTCTTGTGTTAATTTTGTTGGGAGAAAGTCGAGATCATTCTTTTCTAGTTTTCTCAGAGATGAGTTGAGCGATCCATAGATGGGGGGGGGCGGGTAGCTGATGAAAAGCTTCCCAAGCTTACTTTGGCGCCCTGTTACATAAACACGCCATTACAAGGGGGCAACAAGAATGACCTAACTTTGATTAATTGAGGCATCCTTTTTTTCGTGAGTTTCACAAAACACACGGGGACGCCGATGTCGTTACATCTGCGCTGCATTCGAAAAGCACGACACCAGTACAATTTAGACTCACTGTTGATATCAGCGCCTTTTCTCGAAAAAAAGAAGCCATCAGAAGATCAGGTAAGTGGTTAATGGTGCAGGAATGAAGTGAGAACGCCCGTTATGATGCAACTCCCATCGGCACTGCCCGCATCCACACCAGGGTCAACCCTACGTTGTTACGAGTAACAACGGGGGGGGTCGTACTCAGTTGAGCTTGGAGGGGGGGTCGTACTCCTCTCGGTGGCCGGCAGTGGGATTCTTGGTAATATCGGATAATAGCCAGCACGTTACGTTTTCGTAAGATGACTGATACTAGAGCATCTATAAACCACGCTTCCCTCTAAATGAGCTTTCAAATGAATCAGCGAATTAGAAGGGCGCCCGAGGCGTGGCGCGCACCAAGGCAAGGGATGTAGTGCAAGCGCATGCTCGAAGCTTTCTAGCACATCCTAAGTTAAACATGACATTGGTCTTCCAAGAAGTTACGGGCAGTGAAACCTAAGAAAACCCGCGTTTTCGGGAAAATGGCTTGAAGAATACCCCTCAAAAAAAGTAACAACGGGACTAATTTTTGAACTGCTGACTTTTCAGGAACGTTTTGGTGCTCGTAAGAAAGCTTGAATCCTGTGGTTTGTCATACCGTGTTCAGCTTCCCCAAATGAATGACTTTGAAGGAAGTTACTGACTCGTTTGAAGGTAAAAAGTCGCGTGCAAAAAGACACGGAAGCCGCCCAAAAAGTATTAGAACGAGACTAATTTATGTAAACTACTGACCTTTCAGGAACGCTTGGGCGCTCGTTAGAAAGCTTGAATCCTGTAGTTTATTATACGTTCAGCTTCAAATGAATGACTTTGAAGGAAGTTATGATCGTTTAAAGGTCAAAAAGTCGCATTGCACAGAAAAAAGTAACAACGTACTAAATTTTTATTAAATTAACTTTCGAAGAATTTTTACCCATGGTTGGAGAGAGAATAATTTGAATTTTCCAAATCAAATCACTTCGGCGCAGAAGCTCGAATATGAAGGAAGGAAGTTATAGCCTTAGAAAGAGGGGTGTAAAAATTGTGTTGCAATTGAAGAACGTGAAGGATTTCAGTATTTCAATTGGAGCGATAATTTTTTCTGACTTCTCATAAGTTTTTATCAGGTAATATTGTCAATATTCCGGTCACTGGTTCAGTTTATTTCATCTCCTAGTTTGGTAACCCTTTGGAGTACACGGATATCTTTGAATGCATCTCATTTTTTCGTGTTTGCAAGCAGCGATGAATTTCTGTCGTGGATTTTGCTAAAGTTTCATCTTTAATGACTTACGTAGAAATAAATATTGATGGTAAACACTGTCTCTACACAAGTGTTACATACAAAGGGGGGGGGTCGTATCAAACCACCCCTGAAGGGGGGGGGGGTCTCGTAAAAAATTCCGAAGAGTAACAACGATAGGAACATGACCTGCTTCACACTACGCTTTCTCTGCCTAAACGGCTAGGGCTCAGACGCGCGAAGAAAGCGAGCGGGGATACTGCGCGATTGGCGCCAGAGCACCTAGGGGGGAGGCCATGCTAGATCGCGGGGCTGTTATGCCGAATTGCGCTGTCGGGCTAACAACGTCCTTAAAGTCTGCCCCTGTCGCCTGTACTAGGTAGTATACTCCTCACTCGACTTTCGCCCTTATGGTCCGGTTGTTGAAAGGGTCACCTCGTCGTGGATCGCGAGTGCTCGCCTGACAACGAAACTGCCACAATGGCTAGCAGAGAGTGAGGAGCCAGTCGCTGAGTATCATAAGAATTGGTATCAACGACGCTGGGGCGCTGCCCCAGAAAATTCTGTATGCCACCATCGCTTAATCAGTATAGGCATACCGTTAAGCGAGTTCATCTATGGAAGCTAATGGATAACTCGAAAAGGACTAGATAGAACGCAATGGATTCAACGCATCACACGCTGCTAATCTTGCGCTCTCACACAGGAAAGGACCTATCCCCACTATGTAAACAAAACGACATAAAACCTAGCGCAAGATATGAACAAGTAGACCTGAAAAAAAAAAAAAAAAAACTAGTTCGGACCAACCCTGAGCGACATCATTAGGTGCGTGTAACCGCGGAGAGGATCAAACGGGTGCTCAATGTAAATGGAGGAAAGGTTTGTGCGTGTTATTCGTGCTACAATTAACTCCCAAGGTTATATTTCAGGGCTTCATTTGCGTACTCCTCCTTGCCGATTCGCACATTTTAATCGGTCGAGATGGACGTTTCAACTACACGGAAGCCTGCGGCGAACAACACACGAACGCGAAGAAGTTTCTTGTCACGACGACGCACCGGATTCCAGTTTCAAAAACCGTCCATTAAACTTATGGCGGACTGAATGAGTGGGCGCTATCTATTAGCCTATTCGGCCGACTGAGCATCCGACTACCATCAATTGGTGCCGCCTGAATATGCTTTGCGAGCTCCGGAAAAAATTTGATCCCTTTTGAGGAAGTCGAAAACAAGATCTTTCAACTTCTTTGACTGTTGCCACGTCACCACACGTCCTTGGCTTTCAGAACCAAAAATCTGCCGCACCGTTGGGCACATGTTGCAGACCATGGGGCCGCATTCAGTCCTTCCCGCCAGGGGGATGCGTCCCCCTCCTCTGATTCAATCCTCTGGAGGAGACAAAAAAGGGTTGCGTCATAGGACCGCCCATACCTGTGTTTCTACCTGCCAGACAGTTAGAGCAGCGCGACCCCATCACTGTTGAAGACTGTTTTTCACTAAGGGTCGCGCGGATTTAAGTTCTGCACAGAGGTATGGCGGTCCTACTTCGTAACCTTTTTTTTGTCCCCCTCCCCCGAGGATTGAATCAGAGAAAGGGAACGCGTCTCTCTAGGGAAGGATTGAATACGGCCCCATAATGGTGACCACATGATAGACGAACCACAAAATAAGATTGTTTAAAATGAAGGTTTGATTCCGGTCAAGACGGTTTTCTCAACTTAATATTTATTGTACGACTGGTAATGGTGCTTTATAAATTCATCAATAAAAATGTACAAAATCTACATATAAAACTCGGCAGAAGGTAAACGTTCTTAATAAGGTTAAGGTGAAAGTCTCCGCATCGTCCATTCTTCGCCATTTTTCTTGAATTCAAGTCGATCATGCAGCCGATCACTTTGACCTTGCCAAAATTCAAAATAGTCCGGTGATAGCAGATAGCCGCCCCTGGAAAGAGATCAAAATCTGTTCTGTGTCTTGTTGCAACTGGGAAACGATCTCCTAAGGGCAGATGGCATGACAAATTACATTGAAGAAGGGCAAATATGCCTACTCTACAGGGAAATTGATATTCCAAGGGAGCGGGTTGTGGCTTTCATAAGCGAAGTGCGAACCCGTAGCGGCCTAACAGAGCTTTACCTGTCCCTTTAGACGCCTTGCTCCTCTGGTGCTCCCAAGGTTGGCTGACCCACTGCTGGACCATCACCGCCGGATTCTAGTCGTTTTAGCAGAGGGTCACTACAGAGCACTTACGAAGATGACGTTAGCACCGAGATGTGACTTGAACGGAAATCAGCTAGGAAAACAAGGGGTCTGTTTTTGAGAGCATCCTCCTAACTTTTCAGCGCCTCTTAGAAGCTAAATTCTGATCGATTCCAAATTTACCCGCAAGTAGACGCGTTGCGTGATCCTCTCCATTCAGAAATTGGACCATTATTACCAGAAAACCCATGTTCTACACCTTGTTCCATTCATTTCATTCACTTCATTGATTTTTTTTCCATTTTCCACTTATATGGTTGATAAATGCGATAATTGACCTTGCCTATAACACAATTAATCTGCTACTCACCAGGACTCCGGTTTAGTAATGCTGGCTTCGCCCTCCTTATCCGCTAACTCCTCCAGAGCCTTTCGTTTGTTCATGAGGAACTGAAATCTGTTCGATTAGTAGGTCTTGATAGAAAACTTCCTGTTAAGCTGTTCCTAAGTCAGGACCATGGTTTTTGATGAGCATGTTGTAATATTTTTAATTTCAATCAATAAGGTCTGAAATCGTGGCTGAGATGTGCGCCAATTTGAGCACGCGCTTAACCGAGTAAAGAGGTTTGATAGCCTGATTCAAGTAAAGCTCGCATCGTATCGCCTTGTAATGTCAGTGCATG